TATAAGAGACAGAAGTAATGGAAGCAAATTACAAATTTATTTAAATATAATCTCATAATATTTATTATGAGTATCAAGCATAATCATTAATGTAAAACAAAGTTAACTATTAAGTAATTTTATAATATCTTACTGTCCTTACAGATTACATTACAAAGTCACAGAGGATGAATTGGATTTAAAAGTGACACATTCGAAACTTCGAGTAATAGAAAAGAATCTTAATAAAATAAATACTGAAATAAAAGTATTGGACAAGATAAAGCAGTAAGTATGAGTGAATTTATAAAAATCACGTTTTTCGAATTTAATTTTATTAAAAAATTTTAAATCTCTAATTGTAGCATAAATGACAACTCTTCAGCGAATAGTTAACTATTAAGTAATTTTATAATATCTTACTGTTCTTACAGATTGAATTTCAAAACAAAGGGTGATTTAGATTTGTTAGTAGAGGAACATTCAAAACTTCAAGTAATAAAGAAGAAATTTTATAACACAATTGCTGAAATAAATTACATGTAAGTATAAGTGAGTTTATGAAAATCACGTTTTTTGAATTTAATTTTATAAAAAAAATTTATATCTCTAATTGTAGCGTAACTGACGACAACTCTTCAGCGAATTTCAAATATAGACTTACATCCATACAGCCCATACAGGACGAATATTCAACGCCGAAGGATGATCGCACTCCGTATAAAAGGAAACGCTCCATGTAAGCTTACTTATTATAATGCTCTTATTTTATTATCCTTTTTTGATCGTAAATTATAATTTAAGTAATACATTATATTTTTACAGTTTAAATTTAAGATTCTAGACCGTCTTCCTCCAATATCGTAATTATTGGAAATCTTTCGGAGAACATGAATGAGTTTCTTTGCCATGTTTCAAAAAGACCAAATAATTATATTAATTATGGACTGCAGCGGAATAGCCCGCGCCGATTAAGGAGGTTCCAGCGTTACTCTCTAGATAATAAACAGTTTATTCTTAAAATTGTGTATAACGATTAAAATAATAATATTAAAACAATTATCAACAATATCTATTTCGCTAATGTC